CCGATGTGGTGAAATTTCCTTGGTGCAGTCAACGCGGTGTTTTGGATGCTGCAGGGCACGTACTGTGTGCAAGACGTGTGGTGCGACACTTTGGGATGCAATCTCTGGAATCGTGGTGTTTGCCCACCCTGTGTCGTGAAAACTGCGTTGTCCAACCTGCGTGGTTCACACTCATTGGTGGCATACATGCTGTGCGTTATAACGGGTAAATTCGATGCGTTTCCAACACGTGTGGTGCAGTCTACGCACTGCGAGCTATGTCGCGAGAGCTACATGGTGCCAACATCGTGGAGCAATTCATATTGCTGGCATCCACGCGTGACCATGTCCAACGTTTGCGCGATCATCCCACCCATGCGCGTAATTACGCGAAGGCCCTGGGCGGGCAAACGCTGATGATGATCATGATGTTGGTGGGGCTAACGCCGAGGGCGGCGACGACGACGATGACGATAATGATGTCAACGGTGTCAACGAACGATGCCGACGACGATGGTGATGGTGATGGAATTTTCTCCCCAGTTGACCGATGGCGAAGAACGAGGTGACAAACGATGGAGCCAAACAAAGCGCGGCAATCTTACGCATCGGCTGGGGCAAACAGTGCAGGCACTGGTCACTATCAGTGCTGGGCCGTCTCTTAAGACGAAAACGTGGGATACAACCGGCAAATGCACGCTGAGCAAGCAGGGGGGGGGGGGGGGGGGGGCAAACGCGATCGGGCTACGCACGAAGGTCGCCAACCGAAAGTGTCGGGGAACCACAAGAACCACTTGAACAACGGCGGCTGCAAGCACGGGCGGAGGTGCGCTCAGACTTGTCAGGCCCTCGCGCACGGACCGGGGCAGGCAACACGAGCCGGTGAGCGCAGCCACGACCTACTCGCATCTGCTGTGCGCCGTGGGAGCAATGCCACCCGCGGCGCTCCGGGCGGACTCTCTGGCCGCCCCGAGAGGGCAAGGCAGCAGCAGCAGCCCGCCCGCGAACCTGTCCCAGAGGGAAGGCAGGCAGCGCGGGCCGCGGAAGGAGAGGCAGGCCATCTCTCGCAGCCGAGAGCGGAGTTCGGAAGCCAACGCATCCGAGCCTCTGCGAGCCGCGGCGCCCCCGAACAGATTGGGATCCATAAGCATGAAGCCACGGCGGAGGGCAACCCAACCACCACCACCGGCAACGGCAGAAGAACAGCGTAGCCTAGCAGCATCAGGGGAGACACGCAGGAGGGAACGCACAGCAACAGCAACAGCGACGACAGCAGAAAGAGTAAGGCAGCACACAGGAAGGAAACAAGAGGGTAATAGAGTATGACTTAGGCAAGTGAAGAGAAAGCAACAAGACACAGTACACTCGTGCGCAGACCACGCACAGCATGGACGCACCAATGGGGAAACTCGTGGGGAGAGGCCGCCAATCGACAACACGTCGCCATCCGAAGCACAGCATGCGTCTCATGCAATGTCAATTTGGCCACGGCCAAACGCGCTTTGATCAGTAAGACTTGTCGATCGCATCAAGGTTGCGGAGATAAAGATGATGGTGGTGACGGCGGCAATGATGACGGTGAAGAAGATCAGACAGATAATGTCGAGGGCAACGACACCGACGATGATGATGCTGCCGAGGAGGACGGTGGGGAGGATGCCAACATCGATGGTCAGGCGAATGAAGTAGATGGTGATGCCTGCGGCAATGATGACGCTCGCGATGATGATGAGCATCGTGCTGACGAGGGTGATGGGGAAGTGCGCGCGCAGAAATTCTGAAATCATGAAACCATGCGTTGGGAAACCATTAGGTGATCATGCGTTGGTCGCAGATGTGTTCAACTACACTGACGACAACAAGTTTTGCAATGATTTCGACGTGCGCGCGCTGAGACGCGCGCACGCGGCCCGCGTGGCATCGGTTCGTAGAGTTGGTGGGTGCTTCATATTTGTTGGATGTATTCTAGATGCCCGCGCCTGCGGCCCACATTGTCTTACCCGACAGAATGGGCCATGCTGTCAACGAGTACGCGCGCAGAAAGCTGGTAACTCGTCGCTGCGAATAAGCGGAGCAACAGCAGTTTCCAATTATCTGGTTGAAGAAAGCCACATGGAATTGCTACACAAACCACTGCTTCCCGAATGGGTTTGACATTCACTCGCGGGGTAGGGGGGGGAGGCGGGGCCGCATGTGGCCCGCATGGTGTAAGCTGGTAGGAATACGGCAACACGCACTTGGCATACCAACGCGTGCACCGCATGGTAGTATGCAACAAAGATGAAGGGGACGATACCGTGTTCACTGGAAGGGTATACTGTCTGGTTCACATACCATGAGCGATCGTGAAGGTTGACACTAACGCGCGCCCAGCCCGTCTGCTGGCGCGATCCCCCCTTAAACGCCCCGTGAAACATGGCCCAGTCCTAACTCCCACGCGGTTCCCCACGCTCATTGAATAGCTCGGAATACTCCCCCCCTTCCCCTTCCAGTGGTTAGCAACTGCGACTCGTCAGGGTGGTACACCAGGCTCTTGAACACCGTCTTCTCGAACACGCAGAGGCTCCTGTCATCTCCCCGAGGCCGAAAGTAGATGGGAAGGGCAGGAGAGGTAGGGACGGAGAAGGGAAACAGGAGAGAAATACAGAAATGTGGGGATGAATCATGTAAGGGAAGCAGCGGGGAGGATGAGCGGGGGGAGCGAATGCATAGGATGAGAGACAAGGAGGAGGGAGGTGAACCAGGAGGATACTGAAGATAACCACGCACTCGGTGAGGAGCACGGGGAAGGAGGCGAAGGAGGACAAGGCCGATATGCAGGGGGCATTCGGGACATAAAGAAGGCAATCTCGTTGCCGAGGCTCGGGATGAGGGATGAAGGATCATGGAAGAAGGATTACCATGCCGATGAAAGAACACTTTGAAAGCAAACATCGTTTGGAAAAGGATACGACCGATGACGTGTCGCCATACGTAGAAGGCGATGCTTTGAAATGGCATTTGGCCCCCGCAATTGCGGATAAGAATAAACGGCCGGGAAAATTGTCAACAATGTGCAAGGCTCGAGTGCAACCGTGCAGAAGCCCGCCGCAAGTGCAAATGTTCTGTGAGAAATGTGTCGGGGATCTCCTGACCAGGGTTAATCCAGACCAGGGTCAGTCAGGCCTTACAGAATCCTGCAAGATCCTGCAAGATCCTGCACCCAATCCCGGATCAATGCGAAGGAACCTGCGAGATCCTGCAGGATCCTGCGCCCAAGCCAAGGTCAATGCGACCCTGGCCCTGCCGGATCCTGCAAGATCGGGCGCTCTGGCTGACCCCCGTTTGCATTGACCCCCGTCTCAAGGCTCCCGAGGTGCGGGCGGCTCGCGGGCGGATCGCCTGCGGGAGGGGGGGGGGTGCGAATCGCACGGCGGGTCGCCCCATGAGGTCCGACGTCGCGAACCAAAACGCACGGCGTCAGGAACAAAAATCAGGGTTGGAGCCCTCGACCCCCCTCTCTCTGCGCCAGCTTTCGAGCCGGATATCGACACGGTGAGGAGGAGGAGGAGGGAGGAGGAGGAGAAGGAGGAGGAGGAGGAGGAGGAGGAGGAGGAGGGGAGGAGGAGGAGGAGGAGGGAGAGGAGGAGGAGGAGGAGGAGGAGGGACAGGCCCGACTTAATCTCAGGGTCGAGATGGGGCGATGCCACTCCGAGGAAGGCAAGGGCGCCTCGCTTCGCGCCGCGCGCTGCGCGAGAGCGCGAGTAGCTTCGCGCCCTCGCGCCGCCCCCCCAGGGGAGAAGAGGAGGAGGAGGAGGCGGAGGAGGAGGAGGAGGAGGAGGAGGAGGAGGAGGCGGAGGAGGAGGAGGAGGAGGAACGGGAGGAGGCGGAGGAGGAGGAGCCGAACCGCGATGCCCGAAGAACATCGCGCCCTCGAGGGCGCCCTTGGAGGGATAGGGTTCCAGGCTGGCAGCCTGAGGGGCGCGTGTCCTGGACCCTCGGGGCGCGCGATCCCCGGGGACAGCTCCTCCTTCGAAAACGTCTTGTGCACCGCCCCGGGTCCCGGTCGAGACGCCAGCTTCTCAGGGGCGGGTGTGCTTGAGCATCGTTTGACCGATCCCGATCCCCACTGGCGTGGCCTGGGCCCCACTGGCCGATCTGCCCCCGAGATGGGCATGCAGGCGGCTCCCTTCGGGCTTCGAGGGGCGTATCTGCGGGACGGGAGAATGACCACAGCCTCTGCTTCTTGTTTGCGCCGCCTTCCAGCCAGCCGAAAAAGAAGCAGTGGTTGTGGTCATTTCCCTGGTGCCAAGCTCAACGAAATGACCACAACCACTGCTTTGCGTCTGCTGGCTGGAAGGCGGCGAGAAAAGAAAAGCAGTGGCTGCGGTCCTTTTCACGTCCCGTAGTACCCCCAACTGGGGTGGTGGGATTGTGAGGATCGGGATGGGGATGGGAATAGGGATAGGGATCGGTGAAACGATGCCGAGTGTCGTGGGTGGATCGCGGTTGGGTCGCGGGGGCGGGTCGCCCGGCGGGCCACAGGGCGCGTCGCGGACAGGGCCGCGGACCGGGGTCGGGGGGCGGGGTCGCGGAGCGCAGCGCGGTGGGGTCGCGAGGCGGGGCTCGGCAGCCAGGGGACTGATCGGCGGGCGAGGGGGGGAGGCGAGGAGGAGGAGGCCTTCTGCAGGAGGCGGGGGGGCTTCTCGGAAGGCCTCCGGCCTTCTCTGAGAGGTTTTCCGCGTCTTCGGGGAAGGCCCAGAGCACTTCTCGGAATGCCGAGGGACTTGCGAGCCTTCTGAGAAGGCCTTCTCCTTCTCACTTCCCCCCCTCGCTCGCTGGCAGACTGAGAAGGCGAACCCGCACCGCGGAATCGCACATGAGCGACGATCAATACGGGTCTTACGCGAGCTGGCATGGCGACCTTGCGCGATGGCTCTCGCGGGCCGCCGGCGCGGCAGGCTACACGGGAGACGAGGGCGTTTACGCGCGACCGTAGTCGGACAGCTTACGCGCCACTGTCGGCGCAATCGTGTTCTTTTGTCGCCCACTTCAGCTACGCATCCAAAGACACAGTCTCAGACCACTCGGAAATACGTGAGCCTCAAAAAGAATATATCCGTCCGACGTGACGGCCTCCAGCTTGTGGCAATTACTCGAAGGCTTTGAATCCGCTGGAGAAGCGACAGTTTTTACGCAAGCTGGAATGCCGCGCTAGAGAAGATTGCGAGAATACATGCCCTCGAATACGTCACGAAACCGACGTCGCATGTATGAACATCTGATATAAGTTTGCAAGCATATTGTTTACACTGCAAATGCGATTATTTGTATGTTGGGGTGCCACGCTGCTTTGAAACGCCCTGGTCTCTCGACAAATCTGATGTGCCCGCATCAGTCTGAATAGCAGCCCTCAGCATTTGCCATCGCAGATGGCGAGCATATTGTCCTTCAAAAGCATTTCGCAGAAGTGGATCTCGATCTCTAAGAGCGCACAGTGGCCAGAGAGGTCCACTTCCTCGTCGTGATGGCGGATCAGCTGCAATGCCTCTTGCAAGTAGAGCAGCGCGGACGGCCTGTACTCGGGCCCCGAAAGCATGAGGAAGCGCGCCACCTTCGGGAGGACAACGGACTGTATGAACAGAACATGTCGTGGGTCCGAGTGGGTGACAGGAATTGGTGCTGCATCCCCCCCACCAAACCTCCCGTAGCGCCTCCGGCGCCGCCCTCGGCGCGCTGGAAAGGGCTGTGGGGCGAGGGGGCCCGCGCCGATGCAAAACGTCCGCGCGCACCTTCGACAGCTCAGATCAGTGCTGGTCTGAGAGGCCCAGGGACACACAAATGAATGGACACAAATTCCAAGTTTCCCATGTTCTTTACGCTCTGGATGTTCTCGTCTTCCCCTCCGCTTCCGATGCGCTCCGCATTTTTCCCCGGGGATCGACGATCACTTGACTCTGTCTTCTTCGTTCTCTCCTGATTGGTTCTGACAGCCTTGTGCATGACCATCCCTGCATTCCCATCGCCGCCGCGGCCGGCGCGCTTCAGATTCTGCAGCGCCCGCTCGAACAGCTCGTGGTACTGGGGCCGGTTCTCCAGCGCGCCCCTCTCGGCCAGCCAGCTCAGGTCTTCGATCATGTCGTGGAGCGGCGTCGGGTGGATGGAGTCTTTCTCCGCCTCGACTTATGATGCTGAAGGGGCCCTGGGACACACAAATAAATACACACAAATAAAATGATGCCCCATATTTTCCCATATTTTCTGGGTTTTTGTCTTCCCCACCACTTCCCATATTTTCCCATATTTTCTGGGAGATCGACGATTAATGGTGTCTGTGTGTTTCTTTTCCTCCTGAGATGCTCCCATCGTACTTCAGGACCACATCCCAGCAATCACTTCGAGCCCCCAGAAAAAGTATCGAAGCAGTGTCGAACGAGCACCGCCTCCCAGGGCCCGACGGGGAAAAACCTTCAGATTCGGTGCTGTCTTGGTGTTCGAAATTATGTCTGGTGGTCGAGGCTAGAAAACAGGTTGGAACATCACAAGCCTCGACACGGATGCCCTCCCTGAGCCACGGAACAGCCTCGCCGTACTTTCCCTGCAGCCGCAGAGAGGTCGACAACAGCTTCACCGCGCCCTGCCACAGCGGCGAGCCGGTCCCGACTGCCTCCCGGAACAGGCGCTCCGACTCCCGGAAGTGCGGCTCCGCCCAATTGGCGTACTGGCACTCCTCTATAGGAAAACAAGTACACCAGAGAAAAAACCAATCAATGGATGGTTTTCGCTGGGGAGATCGACGGGCAACCCAGGAACCCAGGAACCCAGAACCCACCGAAATCGGGCCGGAACCAATGACCGGGAACCCGGGAACCTGGAACCGGGGACCCGGGAACTCAGCCTGCTACCAAAATCGGCGGGAGGCGTTCGCCAGATCGTTCCACTTCCGCCAGGGGCCCCGTCAGTGCAAGCACCGACGGGGGAAGAACGGCACACGTAAGCCTAGACTTTCGGAGGTCCGCTCGAGCTTCTTGGATCGGCGCTGGAGCTCCTCCTCGCTCCTCCTCGCTCCTCCTCGCTCCTCCTCGCTCCTCCTCGCTCCTCCTCGCTCCTCCTCCTCCTCGCTCCTCCTCCTCCTCCTCCTCCTCCTCCTCCTCCTCCTCCTCCTCCTCCTCCTCCTCCTCCTCCTCCCCCCCTGCCCGGCGCGCGGAGGTGCCGCCGGAGATGCCGCCGGGGAGGCCGAGCGCCGATCGAACTCGACTGCTGGCGTGCTGGCACGCCTTGCGGTAGTGCTCGCCCATCTCGAGGTAGCAGCCGCCCACCGAGTCGTGCAGCTTGGCGAGCTCGACGGGGTCGCCGCGGTCCTTCCTGGAGCCCTCGAGGGCGTCGACGAGCAGCTGGGCGGCATCGTCGAACTCCTTCAGGTTCTTCTTGGCGATGCCGATGTCCCAGCGGTCGCTGTGGTCCATCTCGCCGTCCTTGAGCCGAACGGCCTCCTGGAAGTGTTCCAGCGCGCGCTGATGCTGCTTCAGGGAATTGTAGCATGTGCCCAGGTTCTTGTGATGAATCGGGTGGGGCGGCACAAGGTCGTTGATCTCTTCCAGCAGCACCGCGGCCTCGACCTGCCTGTCCTGCTTCATCCGCAGGGTCGCGGCATCCTGCAGCGCCTTCACGTTCCACGGCAGCCCCCTCTGCTTCGCCGCGGCCAGCGCGTAGCGTGCCACCGCGTCCGCGCGGTCGAGCTGGTAATTCTTAATGTAGGCTACCTGGATGTCCATGGCCATCCGGAGGTTCTCTGGATCCGCCAAGGCGTCGTCAAGACCCCACCAGTGGGGCGGACCTGTATGGACCTGGCTGGCAAACTCCCGCTCGAACTCCAGGAGCAGAGCGAGGTTCTCCTCCTCTCCCGAAATGAAGTCGCTTGAAGACCAGGGGAAGCCCCTGCTGAGAACCTCCATGTCATCATAGCGGAACGTCGCCATGGACTCATCCATCGTCTTCTCTTTCGCCTCCGGCCTCAGTCTCCGCCTCGCCCGCGCCTCGGCCGCCTCGGCCGCCAGGTCGCGGCAACGATTGCGGATGCCGCTGGCCTGCGGGTGGCCTGGCTCCTGCAGCAGGGCCTCCTTCGCATCGGCGAAGGCACTGTCGAACTGCTCCAGAGCCTCGGCAGCGAACGCCCGGCGCAGCAGCGCCTTCCGAGGAACAAGGAAGAACTGCATAACCATAAACTTTCGGAGGTCCGCGCGGACTTCTCGGACCGGCGCCGGCCCCCCCTCCCTGGCGCGCCGAGCGCCCGGGGCGGCGCAGGAGGCGCTGCTGACGGGGGGGGGGCGAGCGCCGATCCGAGAAGTCTCATAGCACCAGCCTTGCAGACGTGCCGGAGCGGACTTCTGCGTGGATTTCTGCCCCAAGCGGCCAGCGAAAAAAGGAAGGAATTTCGCGTGTATTCGTTTTGGTCTTCATTCCTGGCCAAACAGAATCCGCGCGAAAAACTCCAGGACACCCCAGGGCCCGTCCTATCGTTTTCCGAACGACATCCGCTCTGAGATGTTGGCGCCATGAGAAGTCCGCGCGGACCTCCGCAAGATGATGTCTATGCCATCTTTGGGGCTCTGCGAGCCTTGAAGTTGCCCGGCTCCAGCTCCAGCACGGCGGTGGCGTCGGCTAGCACGTCCCCCCACTCGTGCAGCTGCTGCGCGCACGCCGCCCGGTTGTTCAGGATCCTGAGGGGCAACGATAAAGGGGGGGACTGGCATACATCGGGGGCGCGAAAACGTGGATTACCGATCCATGGATTTGGCGCGCGGTCGCCAAATCCATGGATCGGGGGAAGTGCCCTCCCCAAAATGCGGCCGGTGCCGCCGAGCGAGGGGAATCCGCGATTGCCCGTGGAAACGAGACCCATCGCTGATCCACGCCCCAAGGATCCATGTTTGCGATCGCCTGAATACAATCGAAACAAGGTCCCAAGAACATGGGCCCCTTCGCCGAGAGCCCAAGTCCCCATGGGGATATCCCAAACGAAGGGCATTCCAAGGTGGAGAGCCCAGCGGCGAAGAGCATAAGGGCACCCCTCCAAAGCTGTGATTGTTCTTGACCCTCGTGCCATCTGTAGGGGGGGGATGCATCGACCTGGCATCGGCGATTCATCGCCGATGGATCGGCGATGGGCCTCCGATCGTGAATCCGCACCTTCCTGGGCAGGTTGTGACTATCGGGCCCCTATCGGCGATGAATGGGCGATTGGGGGTCGATGCATCCCCCCCTACAGTAGGGGCCCCTCCACAAGACACCGTCCACAAGAAACCCAACCCTGAGACCCCAGGGCGTCCGTGGACTTGGTGTGGGAACGTGGCGCTTTCCATCACAAAACCATCGAAACCCAAGAAACCCAGGGCACCCTGGAGGCGAGCCAGGTGTTTCTTGGCATGGGCCCCCCACTGTATCCCTCCCGATCGTTTCCCCTGGGATCCGCGCCCTCAGCTGCTCCGCGTGGCGGCTGCCGGCGGGGACCTCTGCGGGCACCGCCGCGAGGGCGCGGCTGTACTCCGCCCGCGCCTCCTGCGGCAGGGAGGAAGCCCAGAAAAACCGACCAAAAAAGTAAAGAGTACCTCGTGGATCGTCCAAGGCCGCGCTCACGGCGATGTTGCTTGAACGGTGGTGTGGGGCACTAAGTTGTAGGAAATCGCGAGCCACGCTTTCCTACGCCTCCAGCATGAGAACGTATCGAGCGAAACCGACACAGCGATTCTGAAGGGGCCCTGGGACGCACAAATAAATACACACAAATAACAGGATCCCCGTATCTTCGTATCTTTTCTTGGTTTTGTCTTTCCCCACGCTCCCCATATGTTCCATATTTTCTTGGCAATCGAAGATTAATTGTGTCTGTGTTTCTCCTTTCCGGCACAGCGGTTTGTAGGAAGGCACGAGCCACGCGCTCCCACAGTACCGAAGCCCGCACTGCCGATGCCTGCCTGCATCGCCGTTGGCGCATCTGCGGACCGCTGCGAGAGGATCTTGAAGGCCTGGAAATGGGCACCAACACCAACACAGGGGTTTGCCTCCACAGGGAGAAGAGGATCCTAGATTTCGGTGTTGGTGGTGATATTTCGGCCACCTCGGATGCCAGAATATAACCACCATCACCGAGATCGGGATCTCCTTCCCTCGGTGGAGGCACACCGCCGAAATCGGTGTTGGTGTCAACCTGTAGGCCTGCGAAGATTCGAAGGAAAAGATCTGCGCCGACGGTGTTCGCCGGCGTGGCAATGCGGGCCGCCGCGACTCTCATTCGGACAGCGGGGCGGGCCGGCAAAGCAACATCGGAGATCTGCTAACCGGGGTCAATCAGACCCGGGTCAGCAGGAAACCAAACAACTGCAATGCAGGAACAACAAACTGCAACACAGGGCTTCGCAAACCCGGGTCAACCGTTATGCGCGGCCGCCTCGCGGCCACGAGCGGCTCGCTAGCCCGGGTCAGCCTGAAGGGGTCTTTGCAGGACCCTGCAGGATCTGGTGCCCTGGCTGATCCCCGTTTGCGTTGACCCCCGTCTCAAGGCTTAAGTCGGGCCTGTCCCTCTACAGGGGGAGTATTCAAAAAAATTGTCAAACAATAAGCTGGGGACTATTTTCTAATCGCATTTTGTTGGACAATGTTTGGATATCGTTTGGCTACGTGTAATGCTTCCTCGAGAATCGGCCTGTAGGGGGACAGGCCCGACCTAAGCCAATGCTCCCGAAGAAGTAGACGTGTTCTTCTTCCTCGCCTTCGGCCTGGGGCGCCTGTGGTCGGGCCCCAGGGGGTCCTCTGAGAGAGACGGAACTCATGGGGCGGAAGGCTGGCCCCGGGGAGGGGGTCTCGGGGCCTCTGGTTGGGCGCCCGAGTTATCCGGGGTAACTCGGGTCCGGGGTAAGTCGGGTTTGGATTCCCGAAAAACGAACCCGAGTTATCCCTGACCCGAGTTATCCCTGATGATTCGGGGCTCTGGACGCCCGAGTTATCCGGGGTAACTCGGGTCCGGGGTAACTCGGGCTCGGAATCCCGAAAAGCGAACCCGAGTTATCCCTGACCCGAGTTACCCCTGATGATTCGGGGCTCTGACAAGTCTTAGGTCGCACCTGTCCCCCATACAGGCCGATTCTCGAGGAAAACAACTAAAAGAGTCAGGAAAAAACATAAATCGTCAAACATACCCCCCCACAAAGAGTCCTCTGATTTTTTTTTATTACAAAAAATCTGGACATTCCTGTAGAAGGACAGGCCCGACTTGAAACAAATCAGATCGGCGGGTGTCACGGAACGGGCCCTGATAACCAGCCTCGAGCTTATCCCTAGCCCACGGATGGACGAGCCAAAAGGCGATGACAATCTTCAGGATGCACCCTCGACAACTAAAGGAGTACGGTCGGCAACTCCTGAGATCCGGCGTCTCAAAAATGAGACTCCGTGAGAAATCGCTCCTGGAGCCCTACACCCGATCTTTCAGCGCCATTTTTTCGAGCCAGGTCGATCTGTGATGGTCCCGTGGCCCGAAATTATGCGAAAACGCCCGGCTCGAGAAAATTGAGGCGCCAGGATCTCAGGGTCGAGATGGGGCGATGCCAATCATAGGGACACAAGGGCGCCTCACTTCGCGCTTCGCGCTGCGCGAGAGCGCGAAACGCGAGTAGCTTCGCGCCCTCGCGCCGCCCCCCCAGCGGAGAGGAGGAGGAGGAGGAGGAGGAGGACGAGGAGGAGGACGAGGAGGAGGAGGAGGAGGAGGAGGAGGAAGAGGAGGAGGAGGAGGAAAGCCATTCAGCCGAGGAGGGGCCAGGACCGTCGCGGCTTCGCCGTCGTCGGTCGCCCCTTCGGTCGTGGCTCGCGCGCCGCGGAGCCATCAAAGAAAAGAAATAAGGCGCTGCAGCCGCGGCGGTCATCCGACCGCCACGCCCAGGACCAAGGAGGAGGCCTGGCACCGCCGCGCCAGGACTGAAAGAGGACACGACAGATTGCTCGTCAGGTTGGCTGCGGCAGCCAGCAGGCTCGAGCAGCACCACAGCTCGCAGCAACCCCAACGCCACCAGCAGCACGTCATGACGAAGCACTGGAAGCAGCAGCGCGGCGCCTCGAGGGAAAGGTGGTCAGGATCAGGGACCACACACCTCGAGGCGCCGCAGCGCGGCGCTGGGAAAAAGGTGGACACGAGCAGGGTCCACAGCCCAGGAACCTGCCCAGGGCCCAAGGGAAAGGTGGTCAGGAGCAGGGACCACACACCCTGGGCCCGCAGTGGGCGAGCAGCCATGGCCATGGAGGAGCTCCACTTTCCAAAGTAAGCGTCCTTGGAGCAAACCGGCTTCAAAAAAGAAGGACGCCGTCCACATCCAGGACTACATCCTCAGCAAGAGGCAGCAGGGCATCGCCGACGCCGTGCTCGAGCTGCCTTTCTCCCTTTCTCGTGACCACGAGTCCTTCGGACTACCGCCAGAGGATCGCGACATCAGGAAGCTTTGGACAAGGAACTTCCAGCAGAGGCCCGGCCGTGTTGCTGATCAGATCAGCGGCGCGCAGTCTGCCAAGGTCGACGCCATCAAGTTGCTAACGGAGGCCTCGGTCATCAAGTGTATGCTCGCGATGGCCACTGATCCACACGTACGGCTACAACAATATCGGTCTCAGATAGAGGTGCTGGCAAAAGAGCAGAACGACATCCATGAGAAGAAAGAGGCTCTGCAGACCAAGGCTGACGCCAACACCCAGCGAATCTCCGACTTGAGGCGCCTCGTCACGGATGTCAAGCTGGAGATCGCCGCCAAAACCGACACCGATTGCGAGGCCGACTCCGAGGACGACATGAAAAAGCACAAGAACAAAAGGGCCAGCACCCCATTTCGCCATCGCGCCAGTCGAGAGCCTCCTTCCTCGTGCTCGAGCAGGCCGGCCTCCCCATCAAGCACCATCGCAGAGCAGCTCAGGAGGAAAGACGAGGAAGCACGCCGAGAAGGAAGGGGCCAGGCCAGTATCGCCAACGCCGAGCTTCGCAAAAAGTCAGAAGAATATGAGGAGGAGGTGGAGGCCATGCGCCAGTGCTTTGCCGAGCTGAAGACGAAAGAAGAGACAGGCTCGTGAATCGCGAGCAGGCGCTATCCAAGACGGCCATGGATGCCGCCCAACAAGCCATAGCAAGGAACACCGAAGCACTCCGCCGCCAAGAAGTTCAGCAAGAGCGCGCGCTCCAGCATAGAGAAGAGATTGTCCATCAGTTCCGCGCCGAGAAGATACAGCAGGAAGCGCAGAGGATCGAGAACCACGAGCGCGCGATGAGACACGACCTCGAGCGTCAAAAGCTCACCTACGAGCAGAAGCACCAAGAGGCTCACTACATGCTCGACGCCATCCGAGCGGAAACGGCCTCCCAGACCTGCATCGCATCAACCTCCGAGGAAGCAGCCCGCCAGCAAGCGATGAGTGAACAACTTCATCGTGAGTGCGAACGACTGCAGCGTGAGGGCAAGAGGATAGAGCAGATGAACCAGGACCTCCGTCTCGAGGAGCAGGCCGTACAAGTCATGGCGGCCCAGAAGATGCAAAGCAATAGCGACATCGCTGAGCAGATCGCGGAAGCCCAAACATACCTAAAGCGAGAGGAGATCCACCAAGAGCACGTGATCCAGCAGCAGACTGCGATTGCCGCCAATAAGCCCTTGGAGGAACATTCCGCGGTCCAGAGGGAGCGAGAGGCGGTATACCAGCAGGCGGAGCTCCAGCTCGAGGCACAGCGCCACATCCAGAGCAAGTGCGACCAGCTCGACAACGAG